GCCGTTTAAGCCTTATCAGACGTTGCCAAGTTTCCTCCGTTAAAAACCGAAATTACTGGAAAATTTGTTTATAATATTTTCCAAAATTTTCAGACAATTTTCTACGCATCTTAATCTAAAATACCTGACAATTTTAAGAGAAAAACGCCGTATGAGCCTCCAGACGTTGCCAAATTTCCCTCGTTCAAACACGAATTTTCCCGGGGACCGGTGAATTTTTTCTTCCAACTTTTCACGGACTTCTCAATTCACAATTCACAATTCATCAAAATCATCAGAGAGTTTCAAGGAAAAATACTAATAACTTTCCCAAAAATAAATATTTAATCACTAGAAATATGGCGACATCCAAATTTTCATACGGCGTTATGCCATAGCTCGGCAGAGCGGGCGACGGCGCGGCGCGGCGCACAGTGAACCGAGTCAATAGGACAGGTCGGACAAAATTCGGAAACTTTCAACGCTTATGACTCCGTTTACACAAAACTTTGAGGTTGTAAAAGTGGTTCCATTGGTTTCCTTGTGAAATTTTCTTCGGTAAGCACCCCTTAAAGTTTAAAATATGACGAAATCAAAATCAAGATTTGCAGTTTTAGCAAAAAATTAATGTCCAACCTCTCCCACTGACTCGATCCATTCTGCGGCGGCGCACAAAGGATCGAGTCAATTAAAGAGGTCGCACATGAATTTTTTGACTGAAATTGCAAATTTTGATGTTCATTTCATCGTATTTTAAATTTTAAGGGGAGCTTCTAGAAGAAAATTTCACGAGGAAACCGATGGAACCACTTTTACAACCTCAAAGTTTTGTAAAAACGGAGTTATAAGCGTTGGAAGTTTTCGATGTTTGTATAAGAATATATGCATAACAGGGCTCACGTCATAATGCATTTAGTTCCGTTTAACAGAAATCCGTCCAAATGACCCTCTGAAGTAGTTGATCTCTCTTTTAAACCAACTTTGATTTTTGAATTTTGAGGATTTAGGTGCAAGATTTTCTTAGAACGTTAAAAACTTATTACAATGTGAGATCAAGCCTAACAAATTGGCAGACCTGCCCTCAGAAAAACTACAGTCTCTCACTGAGTTTTCAACTCATAATAATGAAATTGTGTAGAACAAAGACAAAGGTACACAGGCAGCCCAAGAGGGGAATGGTAGAAGCAACACAAAGAAACAGTGGAAGCAAGGCTAAAACACTTAAAAATACACAGGACGTTTCGATGTCTTGCGACACCATTATCAACCGCTAAAAAAGTACAAAAACATAAAAGAAATTAAAATCAAAAGAGACAAGCTCGGCGTTACATGGTGTGTTCTTTTTTTTTTTTTTGCACTTTCTAGCGGTTGATAATGGTGTCGCAAGACACCGAAACGTCCTGTGTATTTTTATGTATTTTAGCCTTGGTTCCACTGTTTCCTTGTTTTGCCTCTGAAATGGTGTACTCGCATTCTTCAGTATTTTTATTTATTCTGTCAGAAGAGCCCTTGAAAAGAGGCTGAGCGCTTTTAGGCTGCAGTTGCATCTGATTCCTCAATTTTATAAAGATAAAATGGATTGCATTTAGCCAAAAGAAAGCAACGTGATTACAGTTACACGATTTCAAAATCCAGTAACTTCTTTTTCCCTTTTAAAAATACTAATTTCATGTACAGTATCCCACAGTACAGTATCAGTACAGTTTCAGTGTAACTTCTTTTTCCCTTTTAAAAATACTCATTTCATGTACAGTTTAAAATTCAAACAACTATTTTCCTCTGAAATCAGCAATTTTTTGGTGAGAAGTGGAAGATATTTACTAATCTGAGAGATTATTTAGATGATTATGAAGAAGCAACATCTTCACAACACTGTGAATCGCACTGGATCCTTTTTCCCAGATGCAATCCAAATGTTTTAGTTACCAAATCGAATTTTTTGTTCAATTATATTTTTTGTTATTTCTCCCCTAAGAGGCCTTGATTCATTTCATTCCAAAGATTTCAAATATACCTAGTTTTTTTGTTTTCCTAGAAAAAGTCTCTGTGATTTTTTTCCTTCCTTTTCAAAAAAAAAATAAAATAAGTTAAACTGTCATCAAGAGATCAATTCATAAAGTAACACCTCGTAGTTATCTTTTGTACGAGATTTTCCTTCTGTTGCTATATAGTTTTGCTATTTATTTTTTGAAAGTTCAACTGTGATCTGAATTTATAGAATATCCAAGATGAAATTTGTTGATTGCCGTCTGCGATTTGTCTCTTTTAAGTACAGTGTTTGAAACAAAGTAACAAGGAGTATATATCTGTAGCAGTATTTACTCTTGGTTATCAGGGAAGATGAGTAGGTCACATTCATCAAAAGGGAACCAAGTTTCATTTTTGAAAAAAAATAATTAATGAGTGTTTAAGCTTGAATAGTGGCTACTTCCTAATTCTTAAATTTCCGAAGTTCTCAAAAGAGATCTAAGGCCCAACAATTAATTCATTAGTTTTCTTTTCAAAGTACGGCCTTTGAAAGAGTACAGTTCTATAAGAATTTCTCTGAGTTTCAATAAAATGCAGCATAATTAACTAGCCAGGAAATAAACTCTCCAGTTTTTCTGCAAAATGCCAGCAAACGCACCTGTAGGATCATTCCATGCCACATTGCCACAACAAACCAAGACAGAAAAATTTTCTTTTTTCTTTTCGTTTTCTCAGACAAGAAAGTTGGGCAACTTTCTTTGGGGCAATAATAAAGACAAATAAAAAAAGAAAGAGAGAAGGTAAAAAAATGGAGCCAATCCTATGAAATGTTTCGGAAATATTTCTGAAAAAAAGGAAGTTTCAATTTAAATGTCTCCTTGAAAGGAAAATGCCTAAATTTGGAATGTTACTTGGGTGCAACAATGTAACAGAAGTTGCTAAAATTTAAAACAAGGTTGGTTTAAGTATCCTTCTTCCATCGAAGTATTTAAATTTAAGAGATTGAGTCCCATCAAGTTTCCAAGGGAGTGATATGTTGCAAAATCCTATGGTCTTACCAGAAACGCAGGATTTAAATTTTTGTAGGGCTTCTTCCATGAAAAAAAGATAAAAGATAAAGGTTAATGCTTTCATTGCAGGTTGTAACGCACACCTTTTTTTTAAAAAAAAAAAAACTGTAAAAATTCATCATTGGCAGATATTTGCTGTTTTCTAATTGCATTCCAAAATTGTGTGAAACGCGTTCCATCTGAAACGCTCCCCAACTTATCTGGAGTTTCTCTTAGATAAATTCAATAAAGGTCAGCGTCAAACACTGAAACAGCAAAGTTTTTTTCGATCACTTTTAATTCTGGGATCCTACGTGCAGGAGTAAAAATTTTAAATTTTTGGTTGAGTTCACTTCTCACACCCAAAACAAAGAAATGCCTCTACCAAGCGGTATGAATGAAAACTGAAAAAATTCGCTTTTTCTTTAGCTAAACAAGTTCCAAAATACTTAAATAGCTTCTTCCAAATACTTGATATGCTTTTTCTTGACCCAGACTTACATGGAGAAGTGTCGAGGAATACAAAGCGCCTTCATTTTTGTGGGTATGCAATATGCATGGTAGGGTATCCTGCGTGGAAAGCCAGCCTCCATTACTCGGACATCCTACTCGCCCACAACTTGGTACAAAATGCATATTTTGTGTGCCAAAGGTGGAGAAAGAACGTTCAATACCTACAGGATAACATACTGAAATTTCATCAAAATTCGTGCAAATTTTTTTTCGCGGGGTTGTTGCACAGCTCAACTATTCCTGTTATCGTGAAATCACCCTAATAATTTAACCGTGTATTATTTTTTAGTCAATAAATCTCTTGTTCTATTATAATCTTCACTTTTTCTTTGCTGAACCTCTCTTATGCTAAGGATACTTTTCTTTTTTCCATCCCTCGCTTCCTCCCAAAAGGATAACAACCTATTCAATTAGTTAGAAGTTTTAGAGCCGATTCTTGTTGTTTTCTGACTTCATTACAATGGCTCACACCATTTGAAATATATAACCTGCCGTTTAAGTTTTAAATTAATTTTCACATATCTTAATTTCGTTGAAACATTTTATCAAGTTAGATAGAGAGGAAATGATCGAAGAGATGAACGATCGATAGCAACCTGTCTCCGAAATGATGGCTGCAGATAAAAAATGGGTATATATCCATTACAAATTTTGAAACCTCCGATTTTGTTCCATTTTTCTCTAAATAATCCGATCCAAATATTTCTCTTTACTTTTCACCGAATATTATTGCTCGAGTGAAGAAAATTTAAGAAAAATTTATGTTCGTTCTGCTGAAGTTCGCCTTTAAAATTATTTCGCAGGTTCGCGCCTTATTTTAAAAAAATAATTCCAGTGTTGGCGTCACCAAAAAGTCACTTCAACTTTTGAATCGAGTGAATATTTACTAATGCACTCCAGTTACAAATCAGGATCATGACACAAATACTTGCAACGGTGGATAAAAATGTTTGAGCTGTTGCTCTAATCACAAGCTATTGAGCATTAAAAGTTAGTTCTCCGTATTCAGAAAATAGCCAAATGTACTTCGACTGTTGGTACACCTGACGTACCGATCTCCCTCCCCCTCCCTCACACCACTCCACTCCACTAGTCAGTCAAACGGAGTTGTCGGCTTGCAAGTTAGGTTTGTACTAAGTCAAGGCGGATAAAGAATGGTGGTCGCATTTCGATTTTGGCTGCCATCTTGAAGCGTTGTGACGTCAGGAGGGTACGGGTTTTGCCGTGCAATCCGAGGTTGAGTCGGCTGAGTCGGCCCCCCCCNCCGCCCCCCCCCCGGCCTCGGCCAGCCCACGTACCCGATGTACCCGATACCGTGTGACGTCTAGAGGGTACGAAATGCGACCACCATTCTTTATCCGCCTTGGTTTGGTACTAAGTGTATTTCAATGTTCCTGTTTAATATTTACTTTGAATTCAGTTTGTCAACTCTGCATTGGAATTCCTCATGCAACCGGTGGATAGAACGGTTACGGTAGAAAAAGTAAAAACATAGAATAATAACTAGCTGATTCATTATTCTATGGTAAAAATGAAACATCAGTGCTTGTCAGTGCATACTGCATTTCTAAGATTGTCGGAAGCGTCGTCCCCTTGATAAATGATAATTGTTATTTCGTGCATGTTTCAACGTGTTTCGCGACTCGTGGCTTTTAATGTGGAAATTGTGCATGTGTATATGTTGTTTCCTGTGTCTGGATCAAGCTCCTGTTTCTTAACTTGACTAGGTAAGATAATTTTCATGAAATTACTTACCTCTCTAACCAGCAAAATCTGTCGGCATTTCCATGTGCTCAACCCTTTCTTTGTTATCAGCTTTGTTGTTTTGCCGAACCTGCACGCACCATACCTGGTACTTACCCGTATTATATTTTCTTGTTGTACATAATACTTGAATCTTCCTCCCATTTGCACATTTCTGGGCACTATCTCTATTGGGAAGATCCTCAAGGTGTTGCTGTAGATTAGTACATAACATAAGGGGTTTTCTTTTTTTGATCGGTAGATCTGCCTAAATCCACCGATGGAAATCCATCGGCCGCCATTTTGGTACGATATTGCCCGCGATAGACGCGTTGTTAAAGTCCACAACTGCCCAACGAAAATTACCCGCTGAGCGTTGAGCTCAACGAAAGCGTTGGTAAATTCTGGTGGATTTACCCGTTTTCCAAGATGGCTGCTCAGCAAACTGCCCAACAGCTCAGCGAGGTTTTTGGCTGCTGTGGACCGCTGCCGAGTTTGCTGGATTGTTATTCCGCCATTTTTTTCTCACTTTAACCCATGCTTTAACCTCACACCACGCAACGCACTTTGCCGGTTGCCAGTCAGTCTAGGGAGAATTGCTTGTTTTGTTTGTTCTTTCCTCTTCCTCCGCGAGTTCCGTTGTGCTCTGCTCGTATTCTTTTTACGAAGATGTGGGTCCTCATTCGATTGAATGTCATTACTTTAAAAGTGGAACTGCCAGAGCAGTTTCCATGAGCATATTATCCTCTTCTTCGTCAATCATGTCAAACACTAAAATAATGCTTCACAGAAGATTGAGAAGATTCTTTCGAACGAAAAAAGCTTTGACTTTATTACCGGGCACATATGTCAAAAATTTCATTATCAATTTCACAACATCAACATAACCTCCAAATCATCTCAATCCAACGGGAATTTAACAACGGCACCAAGATTTTCTTCCGTCCGTTGAGCTGACGTCGTCGTTGAGATGACGTCAATCCTGCGGAGAGTCAGCCATTTTCGTTGGGCAGCAAAAGTAATTTAACAACGCACCTGATCAGTCGGGAGTTTAAGAACACACTTTCCACCAATGTAAACAAATGGATTTCTTCCTCTCATCAAAATCAAACCTTTACCGCAATGATACTGCAATAGTGCATATATACACTCAATGTACCAGCATTAACTCCTTTTTTGCTACAAATAAAGTACGGGGGAAAATATCACTAAAAATATTACATAATTCAATACATAGGCGACAATGACGATCCAAGCAGAATCATCAGCCTCAGCGACGGCGGGAGGCGCGAAATACTCACGATTTCTCGTTTGTTTACTTGTTTTTGGCCTGAGATCTGGCTGAAGTAAGGTTAGGTTGTCCACCGGTGGAGCTGTGATCGGAGAAATGACCGATCACTCCGATCACTGATCGGTGGTACCAAATCCACCGGTCGTACTTCCACCGGTCGTGACGTCAGCACCGACGGATCAATTAACGAACACAGTTTGGTGATCGGCGGTACCACCGATCAAAAAAAGAAAACCCCTATAAGATCAGACTTCAATGTACGCACGGAATAACAGCTCTGATCACTATGATCAGTTAGAGGACAGTACGATGATGGTCCTGTCAAATTTTAACCGTTTGATACTCAAACATGCCAAAATAGTTGCCTAGAGGCAGTGCTTTTAGTTGCGCTGAAAGTTTTACGATCACAGTAAAAACCTGATCAAGGAATTAATAGTTTAGAACCGGAGCTTTTGTATCTGATGTTGTAAGTGGTAAATCCATCTCCGGCGCGAGTCCGCATCTTTGCCAGACAGAATCAGCTCCTCTTTTTGGATGAACATGAGAGTTTAATGGCAGCTTTGGTTTGGTACCAAGATTTTTCCTGATTTTTCAACAGAAAACCATCCACATACTTAAGTAGGCACTAATGCTTTGTGAAGTGTGCAATCATAATAAATGCAATAATATGTGCATGATAATTTCCAGAATCTCAAGCTCTTTGTGAGCATGTACATGCTTTTCAATATTACCTACTCGATTTTTCTTAAAATTAGATCATTTCAAAGTCTACTTACCAGGAAAAAATGTCAAGGAAATTTTGAACATCTCCTCGAATTCAAGAAAAATTTAAGTTTTGCTCAATTTTTCCTCCTAAAGTGTTGTAAAATTCAGACATCCAACTTTTAAACTCGCTAAAATCAATAGGTCTGCAAAGTCCGACTTCTTGCTTTGGTATTCAACTAGATGCCAAAGAGCTTGATGCAAAAACGGCTTTTTTCGCCCCCCCTCTAGAATTTCTCCAGACTTTGTGTCAACACATTCCCTCATATTTTAAAAACCTTCATTTCATTCTCTCAATCCTCATCAGGGATGGCTGGATTTAGTACATTTTCCTCTTTTTACTTCTATCACCCAGCCATCTCCTAAAATCACCCATTATTTTTTATTACTGAACTTGCAACTGATAGCTCCACTCTTTATAGCCAGCCAATAGCGTGTAGACTTGTTGTCTCACCACCTGTGACGTCAGCAAGTCTATAAAAGCTTGCGCTGCCCCAAAATCTAGGTCCTACTCCATCCCCGACCCGTACTAGTACGTAGTGCCTTTTTCGCCCTTTTGGCACATTCTAAGTGACTATTGTAATTCTGTAATTCTCTCTTTCGGTCAATACAATCTCTCTTTCCATCTCAAAATTTCGTTATTTAATTTTTCCGCGTAGTTTGTTGTTCCTACACTAAGAGCAACTGGTGCCGAACGGATATTTCCAACTCTTAACTTTGACATAGTGCTGAAACCTTAACTTTGACTCTATATCAACATCTTTAACCTTGACACTTTGTCTATTGATTACTCATACTTGAGTGCTTCTTTTCCCAAATTTTCAGACCCCAAAAAAATTTGGGGGGGTGGAAGTCAAAACCTGTGAACCTCGATATCTCTCGAACGAAGAAAGATATCGAGGTCCGGTTTGGACGAAAAATCGTCTAAAATTGCATACTTTAAGATTCTAATAGTAGAAATCCCGATATCACATTTTTAAGTCAACATACAGGGTTATTCAAAAGTTACGCACCACTGGCCATAACTTTAGTTCTAATTATGATATCGATTTGCGGTTTGTGGCGTCCTTCCTCATATCGAGGGGGAAACTTTTTGAGGTACTTTTCAGTTTTTCACCCCCCGGGAGGGGGGGCGGGGGGCAACTCAAAAATTTCAAATGGCAACCCCCATCATGTGATACATCGTTAGAAAGAGCATGAAAAATGAACATTTTTGGCGCAAACCGGAAGTCGATCTGACCCCCCTGTCAAAAGTTAGGGGGGTCCAAAGGTTATTTAGGGGGTCCGTACCTTCATTTTTTAGAGTAGCTTCGGCGGCTCTTGGACATACCGTTTCTCTTTTCAAAGAGTCCTCGAATACTCCAAGTCTGATACCGAAGTCTTCATATTGCCCCCGGGCCACCACAGCCCCCCCGTAGGGGGGGATGGGCCTGTTACAATGAAACATTGCATTAAAATGCGAAAAGTCACAGAAGAGCTTCAAACTTAGCATCAAATCCGAGTGGAACTTCTTGCCAATGTTAACGCAAACGCAGCCTGCGACTTTAAAGTGAGTTTTCAAAACTCTTAGCCCCCTGCCCCCCCTCATTTTTGGTTGCAGAGCGGGTAAAAACCGGGAAATTCACTACAAATAATGCCCGAAACTAATGTCCAACTTGAGGAGGACCCTTGAAACGTTGCGATCAGTCGGAGCATTGAAATACAAGGACTGCCACCCCCTTAAAGTACGGAAACATCCAAAACACCCCCGCTGCCCCCCTCATTTTTCGTTGCGGAGCGGGTAAAAACCGGGAAAATCGCCAGAAATGATGCCCCGGTTCTTACCAGCTCTGCAACGAAAAAAGAGGGGGGCAGCGGGGGTTTTATGGATGTTTCCGTCCTTAAAGTGGGCGGCAGTTCCTGTGTTGCAGTTCTCCGACTGAGCGCAACGTTTCAAGGGTTCTCGTCAAGTTCTACAGTGGTTTCGGGCATCATTTCTGGCGATTTTCCCGGTTTTTACCCGCTCCGCAACGAAAAATGAGGGGGGCAGCGGGGGTGTTTTGGATGTTTCCGTACTTTAAGGGGGTGGCAGTCCTTGTATTTCAATGCTCCGACTGATCGCAACGTTTCAAGGGTCCTCCTCAAGTTGGACATTAGTTTCGGGCATTATTTGTAGTGAATTTCCCGGTTTTTACCCGCTCTGCAACCAAAAATGGGGGGGGGCAGGGGGCTAAGAGTTTTGAAAACTCACTTTAAAGTCGCAGGCTGCGTTTGCGTTAACATTGGCAAGAAGTTCCACTCGGATTTGATGCTAAGTTTGAAGCTCTTCTGTGACTTTTCGCATTTTAATGCAATGTTTCATTGTAACAGGCCCATCCCCCCCTACGGGGGGGCTGTGGTGGCCCGGGGGCAATATGAAGACTTCGGTATCAGACTTGGAGTATTCGAGGACTCTTTGAAAAGAGAAACGGTATGTCCAAGAGCCGCCGAAGCTACTCTAAAAAATGAAGGTACGGACCCCCTAAATAACCTTTGGACCCCCCTAACTTTTGACAGGGGGGTCAGATCGACTTCCGGTTTGCGCCTAAAATGTTCATTTTTCATGCTCTTTCTAACGATGTATCACATGAGGGGGGTTGCCATTTGAAATTTTTGAGTTGCCCCCCGCCCCCCCCTCCCGGGGGGTGAAGAACTGAAAAGTACCTCAAAAAGTTTCCCCCTCGATATGAGGAAGGACGCCACAAACCGCAAATCGATATCATAATTAGAACTAAAGTTATGACCAGTGGTGCGTAACTTTTGAATAACCCTGTATGTGTTTTTTTTCCAGTTTTTAGGTCTAGAAAATTTCTTTTAAACGAAAAATTTACAAAGATCTCAATTTTTTATTTGAACCGAAACCAGTTTCTAAATTGTTTGTCTTTTTCCGCATCCAACGAGTGGTCCATTAAG